CTGATAATGTGCTCAGTACAGACTCTATTAACATCTATTTAGACCCTACGTGCCGCTACGGAAGAAAAACGACTTACACAAACATCAATCGACAGTGGATTATCAGCACTGAGGAACTTAGAAAACACGGTGTCGAAATTAAACGAGGAAACGCGCCGTCAGCAAGATATAAAATACAGTTTGGTAAGTCACAAACATTATTTGAAATTTTTTCTGTACCTTCATTTTTCTGCAATAAGAGTTTTTACTTTACCATTACGGCAAATTCAGTCGGCTAAGGAATGCCGACTTACTGAATTACAATTATTTTGGGCGGGACATCACAAACTAGGATAAAGACCTGATACTTAGCCCCACGGAGAAAAGTGTGGGCAAGGACTCCTGGAATATGGGAATGGGCACATGAGGGAGGTAATAGAAAATGACAGATGGCTGTTTTCTGGAACCAAAAGTCGAAAATTTATATTTTTGCTCTTAGTCTGTCTAAATGTACCGCGTGAACTTAAATAATGTGAGCGTGTCATTTGAAATACTGAAATGCATGAGCGGTAAACGGGCGGAAAAATGAACAACGAGCACATCGGTTAAATCTTTCCGGCGACGTGATGGCAGCTCGTGAAAAGCAGTCACATCGGAAGAGAAAATGTAAAGAATATATTATGAAGTCTGACCATCGTATTGACAGCGACTATATATATATATATATCTATATAGGAAGTAAACAACATTTATTACCTAAAGCCTAACACAAAACCTATGCTTAAATCCGAATTCAATCCCAGAGCCTAAACCCAAAGCCAACGCTCGCTTCTACTCTTTACCCTAAGTAACCTCTAGACCTAACTTTCATCTCAACGTAAGCTATACGCTAGCCCTAATGGTAAAACGTAAACAAGCCTGCAGGAGAATGGACGAAGTTCAGCGTGTCTCAAATGACGTCAGTAGGTTTTTCATATAAGTAAAAGCATGTCGGAGCCACGTACTTGATCGTCACGAAAATGTGTTTAGACACTTACTACGCAATTTTCCAGACTGAAACCCACAGTATCAAAGCTGCTTGCTGTGTCAACTTTGCGCAAAACTGACTAAACCTCCGGTTAGCTGTCTGAATGCCATAGCTAGACAGTGTCAATTTCGCGCTAGTTCACATTCAGAACTTCGCATCACCTAGTTGACCTACCCCTGTTAAGGATTGAGGTCGGAAGTGGAGCTCTGCTCAGCGGCAATTTCCTTTCGTGCAACGCGGTTTGCCAGGGAAGGGAGGATTAGCGGCAGGCACCAGCAGTAAAATAGACCCAGACAATGCGTTATACCTGGGAACAGTAAACATGTTCCACGTCCGTACGGAACGGTTTTTTTTTTTACCGAAGTCGCATACTTTTGTAGGTTTGTCTTTACGTGGGCGCCTTATTAACTCTGGCGGTTTCAACATTTTCTCGAGGCCGCGTGTTCAGTTGATGAGTTGGTGCAAATCATAGTTACCCTGCTGTTTCAACCCGAGATAGTAGCCGCTCTTCACAGATCCAATAACCTTAACTTCTGTCGCTAAGAACGAACTATTTGCAGCCTGACGCTCAACCCACCAGTCGGCAACTCAGCCTGAACACACACAAGAGATTGCCTGTGAGGTCTGACTTAACGTATCAGTTGGTGACCTTCGTAGGGTATCAAGCACATCAGGATTGGCCCACGCAAAAATCGCTTGAGTAGCCGAGCAAGATAATAGAGAAGGGGATGCGGACCACATTTCCCCCTTTCGGAAGGGGTGCTGAATCTGTGCTTGCGTTGTGTGATGCCGAGTATCGTCATATGTGCTGTAGGTGCTGATGAGGATAAATGCGGTATGACCGGCAGGTACTACCGCAGGTTTTCGTGGAGGCGTACGTGGGCAACTAATTTGTGTTGTGAGTAACCAGTGCGGACACTTGAGACAGGTGCGGAGGGAGTAAATAGGTGTTTCAAACACTAATTCGCTAGCCTGTACGTAGTGATTTCACCATTGACTGACCAGGCTGCTGCGTAATGCGCGTGCGCGATGGCATTGGGGGCCGTAGCGTCAGTTAAGATAGTGAGGGTCTACTAGCTTTTGGTACGCTGGCGGACTGGGAGCTATGAGTGCAGGTTTTTCGGTGATGCAGAGTGCTATGTATTCGAAACAGAAGGCAGTTTGTAGGCAGAAGGTTCTGTAGACAAAACAGAAGGCTGGTCGTAAGCAGGAGGTGTGCTCAGGATGAAGGAACTGTTTCGTGTGTGAGTCATGTAAGCCAAGGGGGCTTTATAATGGGGCTTAAACGTCATTGGCTGAAAGGTAGCTAATCAGAATAAAGAAAGGGTAAAGGCCTTGCGCGAAAGCTTTGTCCCGAAATCACGTGCGGCATACACAGCATCCCTCCACCCTCAAGTGAACAGCATCCGGATGGAGGAGAATATAGTTAATATAAAAATGAAGAGTTAAAAATTGTTATAATGGGGGCCGTAGCGTCGGTTAAGGTAGTGAGGT